AGATTAAATAAGTTTTATCTTCTAAACTTGTATAATAGGTATTGTAAATCAATGAAGGTTTTATATACAAAAATTCAATTTATAATGAAAATTTTTAACCATATATATTAGGGTAAATTGCTAAAACCTCCCTTGAAGTTTTTGATCAATTCCAAAACCCACACCTGAAGTTTTGTAATTACAATCACATCTCTTAAACTTCTTGACACAGTTGCAAGTAAAGTCCCTATAATAGAATCCTCTTATAAAAAGCACAAAAATGTCCAAAATATCCATGCAATTACTACCAAAGCTAGTTTTTAGAAAAAAAAAAACAATATAAACTTTATAAACAACAAAAATAGAGAATTTAAAGCTACGACTTCACCTTTGGTTGATTAATATGAAGGGTTAGAAAATAAATGAATTTTAGAAAAGATATTGGAATGACTTGGGCTAGTGATTCATATGAGGAAATTTGGAAAATAAACATTTTGGTCAAAAGTAATAGTATTGGTATTTTGGATGTTTTATGCCTTTTTTAAAGAATTCTAATAAAGGGGGTCTACTTACAACTATGTTAGAAAATTTAGGGGAGGTGATTGCAATTATATAATGTTGCTCTTCCTCCCCCGTGTCACAAACGACCATTTTGCCATGCCATTAAGTGCCATCCAAGTTTCTAAGTGTGTCTTGGGTGGGGTATTGCATGTATTCCGTATGGGGGATTGCCAATGGCATTATTATAATTCTATAGTATGATTTTTCATTATTTTGATGTTTCTTTATGTCACTCCCCCAAAAGCTTAATGTACTCTTTGAGGGGAGGTAGGTTGTCAAGTGAATTAGTAGTGTGTAAAGGTTAAGCATGAGATCCCCTCAACACTAAACTGTGTGTTTGTGCTTGCCACCAATTTATGCAATATAAAGTGCCTTTTGATTAATTCATATACAATCTTGTTGCCTTTTGTGTATTGTTGCTTGCATTTGTAGGTTACTCAACTACATTGAGTGTTGCACGGGGACTCGTTGAATAGCCTCATGACAGTTAGTATTAGAGTAGGAGCTCATTCCTAGCCATTCGACCCATGACGCGAGCTACACTATGAAGCACAATAGGGACATCATGGAGGAGATCGAGCATGGACTCTCCACATCCCATGAGCCCGACGATGCACCCACTGCGACATTGGCAAGGACAAGGCACCAAAGCCTAGCAAATGTGAGAAATCTACTAACAAACATGCAGTCGTTGACTTGCACATGCTACGTTGCGAAGCCACTGTAGGTGAGATGCGAGATCAGGCAGACGAGCTCCATCAAAACATGGAAGCCATGGAGAGTATACTAGTGAAAGTGGAAGGCTGCCTAAGCGGGGTCGTGGATGAAGTTCACAACATACTCAATGGCACGCTCAAGGAAATTTGTAGCACCACGCGCCAACAAGAAGGAAGCTCATCCAACCCGCATGTCCAAGACAAGCTTGACAGTTTTCAAGCCTAGCTCGACGAGATGAAGAGAGAATAGGCAACGTGGAGAAGAACCATCTCCACATCAATGGCCATTCAGGCTGAATTAAATGAGATGAAGACTGAACATGCAGCTTTGAAGTCTACCCTAAACACCTCCGCTGATGTCCAAGCTCAACTTAATGAAATCAAGGGGGAGTGCACCATCATGAAAAGAGCAATGGCCAACTTGGCCAGCACCTCAATACCGCTCTCTCCTTCCTACGTCAAGATTCAGGAGCCAACTCCTTATTCGGGCACTCATGATGCAAGAGAGCTCAACAATTTCCCGTGGCAAATGTAACAATACTTAGCCGTAGCCAATGTGGATGATGAAATGACTAAGGTACGTACAACCACTATGTATTTGACTGATATATCTATGTTGTGGTGGCATAGAAAATGTGTCGACCTGGAACACTGTACATGCACCTTACATACATGGGTCAAATTTAAGCGGGAGTTGAAGAGATAGTCTTATCCAGAGAACGTGGAGTTCCTTGCCCGCCAAAGGATGAAGACCCTCAAGCATGGTGATTTGCTCCACGAGTATGTGAAGGAATTCTCAGCTTTCACATTAGAGGTCATCGACATGTCAGACAAGGACCTACAATTCAACTTAATGGACGGTCTAAAGCCTTGGGCTGAGTTAGAGCTCTAATGACAGAATGCCCAGGACCTTGCTTCAACCATGGCCTTAGCTGAACAGTTAGGGGAGATGAGATTGTCAGATGATGAAAGAAGCAGACCATCCAACCCATATGCTCCAAATTTGAGTGGGGGAGTTAGACCACCAAGTCCCCTGAGAGAGAAGCAGCCCCACTACAACCAACCAACATAGTACTAGAAGGGAAAACAGCCACAGGGAAGTTACATCTCCTACAACAACAAGTACCAAGGAAGACCAACCCGGCCGCCTACATGCTACATTTGTGGGGAGGAACACCTGACAAGAGAGTGCCCAAAGCGGGAGAAGCTAAATGCCTTCATTGCCAAGTTGAATGATGACAAGAAGAGTGATGGAGAGCGAAGTACACAAGTGCCAAGAGTGGGCTCCTTACAACTTTTCAATGACATTATGAAGAAAAGGGGCTACCTACAAACAACTCGCCTCAATTAAGAGAGGACTGAGGTACGTTGATATAAGCCTTGGCGGGAGGCCAACTAGGGCCCTAGTTGACATGGGAGCCACTCACAATTTCATATCCATTACAGAGGCCAAGAGACTTAATTTGGCCATCTCCAAAGAGCCAGGCTGGCTCAAAGTTGTTAACACAGGTGCCAAACCTATTGAAGACATGGCTCACCAAGTTAAACTACAACTCGACACCTGGGATGGGGAGATTGACCTCTCCGTTGTTCACATGGATTACTTCGATGTTGTCCTCGGAATGGACTTCATGGTATAGGCAAAAATGACACCGATGCCTCACCTTGACACTAATGATCTTGGACGAGTAATCACCTTGCATGGTCAACATGATCGCCACGACCAATACAAAGAAGAAGCAAGTCTCATCCATGCATCTCCAGCACCCACCTCAACATCAAGGGATTGCAAAGAGATCTACAACAACAACCACCACTACTGCAACCAGAAGTGATTGCAATGACTCTAGGAAGAAGTCAGTGCCAGCACCAACATTGCCACAGCACTAGCAACAGCAGTAGAAGCCATTTGTGCATGCTTTTCATGGGCACAAGAGAAGACCCAAGGCCTACTCCAACACCAACCTTACCTACCACGATGGGAAGAGAGTGCCACCCACAGCCAATAGGATCCACTCCGACACTCGGCCTTCATCCAACTCATATAGTAGCCTTGTGAGGAGAGAACCTTGGGAAACACCCCTCTATGTCCAACTCCCTCTTAATCCAAATTAAACTTTTGCACCAACCTTTCCCTTAGCTAGTAGTGTAACCCACCTTATGCCTTGGAAGAGATAGAGCAACTAAAGAACCCTCCTTCACCAACCAGAAATTCAAGTAACAAGATGAAGGTGATCTTCGAGGACGAAGACCGAATTGAGTGGGGTAGAATGTCATAAGTGACCATTTTTCTGCACCATCAAGTGCCATCTTCACGCCCACAGCATGCCATCCGAGTGTCTAAGTGTTTCTCGGGTGGGGTATTGCATGTATTTTGTATTGGGGGATTGTCGATGGCATTATTGCAATTCCATAGTATGATTTTTCATTATTTTGATGTTTCTTTATGTCACTCCCCTAAAAGCTTAAAGTACTCTTTGAGGGGAGGTAGGTAGTCGTGTGAATCAATAGCATGTAAAGGTTAAGCACGAGATATCCTCGACACTATACTGTGTGCTTGTGCTTGCCATCAATTTATGCAATATAAAGTGCCTTTTGACTAATTCGTGTGCATTCTTGTTGCATTTTGTGTGTTGTTGCTTACAATCGTAGGCTTACTCAACCACATCGAGTGCCGTACGGGGCCTTGTTGAATAGCTCCAGCACCCGTGTGTGAGTTTCTCTCTCCCACTTCAGACATGTGTGTTTCCTCTTACTTCCATTGCTATTGATGTTTGTTGGAGAGCTTCTCAAAAAGGTTTCAAATGCTAGGGTGCTGATTCAAATTTGATCCAATTACAAAATTCCATTACTATTGTGTTTCACTCACAACTTTAGGGCACCTCATCTCCATTGAAGATCCTATTATTGGTTATTATTGACATGTTTTTGTGGAGTTCTGACTCGCTGAACGGGGTGGCTGTTCAATAGGTTGTGGAACCAATGATAACGCTCCACACCAATTGAGAAAATATATGAAGCCACGGTAAGAATTTTTGGGAATGCCACATTTTCTTGAGAGTGGGTAAATTAGTAATTACATCTTAATTTATTTTTACTAAAAACCAAAGCATGGGCATGAATAGATGAACCGCCTAGAATGTGCCCAGCCTAGAAATTGTCTCAATAGCCTATGCTATTGGAGCCTACCCATTCTCAGGGTAACCTGGCATTCCCATAAATTCTATCGAATAGATTGTTAGCCCCCAACAACTAAAGTTTTTCCCGTTTAATAAGGGTTGCGAATGGATTCCATGAATTTGAAATCCGATCCAATTATTTTGGATTCGGGTGGTCCATTAAAATAATCCGATTGAATTCGAATTTTACAATTTACACCCTAATCAGATCCGATTCAGTTTTAGTCCCATCCAATCCTTTTTAAAATCCAAGTCTAATTATTTTATATACATATATTGATTTTAATGTATAAAATTTATATAAAATTATTTATAAATATACAAATATATAGTTGTATATAAATTTAATATATCATATTTTTCTCTATTTATTATATAAATAAATTAAAAATTGATTACTTTTCTTTTTTAAATTTATTTCTTTCTTAAAAAAAGAAGTGGAATTAAATCCGAATCCGACCATAGATCTCCGGTTCGAATTCGGATTCCGGATTTTGACAAATCCAATCCGAATTCGATCCTATTTCGGCCATACAGAATAACAAACTCGACTTGAGAATTGAGATTGTAAGAATTCAAACCACTCATGAACACTCCTCCCAAATGGCGAAGTGGTTCAGCAGTCTGACCTCGCGCACTCTCCTTCCCCAGAGCAAAACCAGAAAATCCGCTTTGCCTTCTAGATTTCTCAGTTCCAACTCCGTAACAGGGAAGCCAGAACCATATGGAGATGGTCAAGATACGCACACAAAGAACCACGAAGTGAAGGAACTAAACTGCCATGAACAAGTAAGAAAACTTCAAGCTCTTGTACAGCAAGGTCATTTGGATTCCGCTTGTACCCTACTTAAATCCATTCTTCTCTCTAAGGCCACTTCGACGTCCCCTTCTGATATCTTCCATCTCTTCTCTACCTCCCCTTCTCTGAAACCCTCCCTCTGTGATCTCCTCTTGTTAGTATGTGCAGAATCCAAAATGCCCACCGAAGCCATGGAGCTTCTAGCATTAATGAAGAAAGATGTTATCTGTCCCTCACTTGCATCCTTCAATCGCTTATTAGAAACCCTGGTTAGCGTTCAAAAGTTCCATGAAACCCTAAATCTGTTTTCGGAAGCTGCCCATTATGGAATTCGTCCCGATACTTTTACTTACAACAAAGCCATCCAGTCAGCTGTGAAATCGCGGGACTTGAATAGAGCTCTTGAGTTGATGGATTTTATGAAGAAGAAACGGGTAAGGCTGAATTCGTTCACGTACAATGTGGTGATTTCTGGGCTATGTAAAGAAAAACGAATGGAAGAAGCAAGAAAACTGTTTGTCGAATTGCCGAGTAGGAAAGTTTTGGCTACTCATGTTACGTACAACACACTTATTGATGGATACTGCAAGGTAGGAGATCTGGACGAGGCTTTTAAGGTAAGAGAGCTGATGCAAAAGGAGGGTCCCTCTCCAAACCTTGTTACCTTCAATACTTTGCTTAATGGGCTTTGTCGGAATCAACGGATGGAGGGGGCAAGGCATTTGCTGGAAGAGATGAAAACTCATGGGTTTGATCCGGATGCTTTTACGTATAGCATTCTCTTTGAGGGGTATTTTAGGTGCAGTCGTGTTGGTGCTATGTTGGCTCTCTACAGAGAGACGATTGGTAAAGGGGTCCGGTTCAATGATTACACTTATAGTGTTCTATTAAATGGCCTTTGCAAGGCAGGCAAGATCAAAGAGGCGGAGGAGGTTATAGACAATCTGAGGAAGACTGGATTCCCTTTGACTGAGGTAATATGTAATACGGTTATAGACGGATATTGTCGTTCTGGTTATGGGGACAAAGCTATTTCAATGATGGAACAAATGGAAGTACTTGGCTTGAGGCTCAGCTGCATGACATTTAATCCTATTATCAATGGGTTCTGTGAGATGAAGGATATAACCAGAGCAGAGGAATTGGTGAGGGATATGGAGAGGAAGGGAGTTTCCCCAAATTTAGAGACTTATAACATCTTAATTAATGGATATGGCCGGATTTGTCAGTTCGAGAGGTGTTATCAGATTCTTGAAGTTATGGAAGAACAAGGGCTCAAACCCAATGCCATGAGCTTTGGTTCTCTCATAAATGGTTTGTGCAAGGATGGTAAGCTTGATGAAGCTGAAAGATGCCTCAGAAGTATGGAAATTATAGGAGTTTCTCCAACTGTAAATATTTATAATATGCTTATTGATGGCCGCTGTAAAATGGGCAAGTTCAAAGATGCTGAAAGGTTGTTCAATGAATTGGCAACAAGTGGTATTTCCCCTACTATTGTAACATACAACTCCCTGATAAATAGGCTTTGTAAGGAAGGAAAAGTGTTGGAAGCTGAAGAATGGGCTCGTATAATTCAAGGTAAACGATTGAGCAATAAAAAAACAATCGAAAGTAAAGGTTTTAGTCTTGATGTGATTACATATAATTCCCTAATTGATGGGCATTTTCATCTGGGGAATGCTCAAAAAGCTCGGGATTTGTATGAAGATATGAAGAAGCAAAGTGTTAAACCTAACTTAGGTACTTATCATGTTCTAATCAGTGGGGTTGGCAAAGAAGGAGCAGTGCAAGAAGTGGAGAAGTTACATCAGGAAATGTTGTCTAATAATCTGGCTCCTGATCGAGTTGTTTATAATGCACTAATTCATTGTCATGCAAAGTATGGAGACATCCAGAAAGCATTTGCGCTTCACCAAGAGATGGTAGATAGTGGGAACAATCCTGATAAAATGACCTACAATAGCCTCATAATAGCGCATCTTAGGGAGGGAAGGGTGCAGGAAGCAAACAATATTGTTGATGATATGAAGGCCAAAGGTTTTGTTCTTGGTGCTTTTTCTTATAACATACTTGTTGAGGGGCACTGCAAGCTAAATGATTTTAGTGGCGCCTATCTTTGGTATATAGAAATGCGTGAGAATGGTTTTCGTCCCAATGCCAGTACTTGCAATGAACTTATAAATGGACTCATGAACGAGGGTAGATTGCAAGAGGCTGAGCATCTTTACTTTGAAATGAAAGAGAATGAGTCAAGTGGTAATGAGGCTCTACCTGTGGCTGCAGAGATATAGGTGTTTCAATGCTTCTCTTTGTGCATAAGCTCTCGTTGCAAATATGTATCACTGGATAGTAGGAATAGGTACATAATTGGGGAAAAAACTATATGGTTTTTCAGTGCTTCAGAGTTTCTTTTCTGATTGTAAAGGGCATATATTTGCATTAGCCTTAGAGGGGGATGCTGTAGTATTCATAAATCATTAATGACTTATAGTAAGCACAACTTATTTTATAATTTGAAAGATTACCTATTTTAGTGGCCAGGTGTAACATATGGACCTATGACTCACCAAACAGTTCAGATAATCAGTATCCACAAAAAAACGACACCATGCCAAAAAGAATTTTTTTGAATCTACAACTGCTTTTCTAAATGGAATTTATGAGAAAGAGATTGTTCAGGGAGTGGGCAAAGCAAGGAGATATTGTCTAGAGAGTAGGCAGAGTAGGGATTTTTTTTTTAATGGTAAAATGGAATTTCATTGAAGAAGAGAAAAAACATACAGTCTAGCAGGTGATAAGGCATCACCCACAAGCATAACAAAAAAAAAAAAAAAAGAAAAAAGGAAAAAGAAAAACTAGGGAACAGAATTAAAATAAACTATCCAAGTTACAAAGTTGAAATCCCAGAATATCTCCCAATTTGTCTCCCAAATCTTCCCTAGAAACTTGATTTAATTCTGGAGATAACAGAACCCAGTCTGCAACTAAATTGCTGACAGCTGCCACAATCTTGCCCATGTTCCAATGATTTTTTGATCAATGTCCAGGTTCTGATATTCGTCTTCAAAGATTCTTCTATTTCTTTCCTTCCATATGTTCTAGCATATTGCAAACGAGATACAGCTCCAGATCGTTCTTTCTTTCTTACTTCCTCTTAACTTTGGCCATGTAGAAAAAATTTCTGCAGAAGATCCAGGCTGAAAGTTTGTTAGCCTGAACATAGCAATCTTGCACGAGAAGAATAATAGATGACCAACAGTTTCCTCCTTTTCTTTACAGAGGAAACACATTTAAGCCATGCTGAAGCCCCTAGATTTCAGATGTTCCACAGTCAGTAAGCTGTTCATGGTCACAAACCAAGCAAAAGCTTTAACCCTCGGAGGAACCAGATTTCCCCATAGGGATGGCAATTTTCCCCATCCCTGACGGGGTACCTGACTTCCCTGATCCGGTGGGGTCAGGGACCTGGAATGAGGTCCCTGCCCTGCCCTGCCCTTTCCCTGATTATATATATTAAATATTATTCATATTAAATATATGTTATTATATATAAATGATATTATTTGTATTATATATATCAAAATATATTTAAAATATTATTTATATTTAAAAATTTTTAAAAATACTGTTAACTAAAAAAATTTGGAGATTTGGGTCCCCATGGGGAACCCGTCCCCATTGGGGGTCAGGGATGGAGGACAATATCCCTAACGGGAATTGGGGTTGGGGACAGGGATTTAATTCCGAACCTGTCCCCCGTAAAACCAGGGCCCCACCCCGCCCCGAACAGGGCAGGTTTTCCCCGATCCAAAACGGGGACGAGGCGGGGATGGGTTTTGTATATAATTCCCCGGACCCACCCCGAACCCGAAGGTAAAATTGATAAAATATCTCTAGGTTTAATATTGATATTTAAAATATCTCTAAGTTTTTCCTAAAATTTTAAAATTCTAGAATCCCATAATTCCATTTTTGAAGTACCCCAAAGTATTATAGTTCAATTCCTAAAATACCCCCAAATTCCTATATTATATGTGTAAATTGTCCACAAAATAAATAATTTTTAAGAAGTTTGCCTTGGAGCAGGGAAAATTTGGGGATTACCTGTCCTCGACGGGGAGTGGATGCCCCGCCCCGAACCCACCCCGCCACTGGGGACAGGGCAAAGTATCTTGACTTCGGGGCGGGGACGGGGAGGGGGTGCTCCACCCCGACCCCGCCCCGTTGCCATTCCTATATTTCCCCATATACCATCTACCTGATTTGGATCTGAAATATCCAAATCAGAGTAGGGATAAAGATGATAGCTGACTAGATTTTGGGATGGAAAGAACAGAAGAGATAAAGGGGTAGCCTCAGCTCTGTAATTTGCTTGCTCTAATGACATCTATGACTCCATTAATGTTTATACCGTTGAAAGGTAATTCCACTTTCCACCTCTCTTCCTCTCTCAAGTATATACAAAAGGGCTGGTTAACCAATTTCCAAGCCTCTAGAGTCACCAAGGGGGTGTCTGGTATCTGGTTGTTTCGAGTGGGAATGGTGTCATATGGTTCAGTAGCACATAGGTGCAGGACAAGTGGGGAGTGGGGCGATGTGGCTGCCTGAGCACACTGGAAATGGTATCTAAATGAGAGACGTGGCTGCTCCTATGTTCACTCTTTCTCTCTTGAAAATCCTCATGCCTCATCTCTCCTCTCCTCTCCTCTCCTCTCTTGCTCTTGCCCTCATTCTCTCCTCCATAAACTCTCTTAAAAACCCTCATCCTCTCTATCTATATGTTTTTTATCAGCCCTTCTCTTCTCCTTAAATCCCCGATATTGATCTTCCTCTTAACATTGTCATAATCGAAGTAAACTCTAGATTTCGCTCACTCTCTCATCTGTCTTCTCTCAGTCAGTGACAAAGGATTTAACATACAGGTTTGGGCATTTATTTTCAAGATTAGTATTCCTAAACTGAGTTTATTTTATTTTATTTTATTTTTTCTTTTCTTTCTTATTGTTGTAGAGTTTGGATCTACTTTTTGAGTTCTACTAGTATGATCATTAATTTTTTTTTTTTTTTTTAACATTGCTTTGAGCTTGGGATTCTCATGATTTTTGGTACTAATTTTCTGTTTTTGACTATTAAGTTATTTTCATTCCTCTGCAACTATGCCTATTGGGACTTAATTGATTGTATACCGGGTTTAAACCACTGTTGCCTTCAACAGATAGTGCCTCAGTCCTTAGTTAACAGTTGAAGTTTGCATTTGGTTTCAGCGACAAAAGATTTAATATACAGGTTTGGACATTTTTCCAGATCAGTATTTTTTTTTTGATTAGTAATTTTGGTATTATGTTATGATATCTCTGTGTTTAATCGTTTTTGTGGTTCTTGCAGAGATGGAGTTTCATGTAGAATTTGATAAACTAATTGAAGTCCTGGTCTGGTCTTTATGTTGGCATTCCAAAGCTCTGATCGCAGGGTGTCTTTGTAGTTTGGGTATAATTTGGGATACATTGTGTATTTGACTATTGGAAGTAGTTTTAGTCTGTGTTTCTGGAATGAGTTGCTTTTCTGAAAATGTTAATTGCTTCTCTAATGATGTTTCTCTTTCAACATTCCTTTGGTCTCCAATTTTGGGTTTTAAAAGTTGATTTTTCCTTTTCCCTTACATTTTAAAAATTATCATCAAAATACCTTGGAAGTACAAAGGATTTCACAGTATTAAGTAAAAAGGTTTTCATAGCATTTAATTATGACTTCTCATGGCATTGAAGTGAAGAGCATCTTTTTTTCTTTTTTTTTTTAATATTGAGATCTTATTCATTTTATTCTTCCTCTTCACAGGAGGATTGTTCATCCAAAGTGGAGATCTTTTTAACATTGAGATTTTTCACCTGTAAGCAGCTGAACACAGACTTCAGGTAAACTATTAGAATTTTGATCTAGAATTCAATGGTTTTTGCTTTTTATAAATTGGATCAAGTTGGAATTCTACTCATTTGTAATCTAAACTGAAAGACAAAGGATTCTACTACGTTTCTTTTTTGTATTTATAGATTAGAATAATAGTTTTGGTACCCAACTTGGACTTGAAGGATGGACAGTCCTAAACAGGAATTCACCCTCTGCTAAAGTACCTTTGGTTGAAATATTGAAATCTAATTGATTATGTTAAGATTTTTTTTTTTTCATTTCTGCTTATTTGCTTGCAATGCATGTTCAGGGAAGAGGGAGTGAGAGTGTCCATTCTACAAAATGGGCATTGATGATAAAGGAGAGCAAGGAGGCTTTTGAGAGACTGAATTTGATTAAAAGATGGGGGGAGGAGTGGTCAAGCAAAGGTTGAGGGTTTCTCATGCATTGTCACCTTTATCGATTTCAGGGATGGTTATGCTTACTTAGTATTTACACATAATTGCATGATTGGGAATTTGTTATCAGCATACCTTTCACATATAGGTGTAAGCCAAAAGGGATAAGGATCAACTCAAGAGTCTTGGAAGCAGGAAGGGTGATGCCAGGGATTAACCTCAAAATGGACTAGAATTTGGAGACCATGATGCCGGAACTGGTTCCTCTATTTATAGACGTACAAGGGAACAAGGTTTCATGCACGGGACCAGGATTCTAGAATATTCTTCGATCAGTGTAGTGTAAGGAAACAGATCCAGCTGTAAGCCAACAGAGATAAGGATGGACTTAGAGTCTTGAAAGTAGGGAAAGATGATGGTTCTTGTGTTTTTGACTGACTGGAGTCCCTGATGTAGAAACTAGCCCTTCTATTTATAGTTGGGGAAGAGAACAAGTATTCCTTGTATGAAGATGGATTTCCAAAATATTCTTTACAGCACCAGGGGGCAGATCCCGTTTATTTCTCCATTAAAGACATGTGTCCTTTGGGATCACAAAGTGGTTAGAGCACGTTCTTGGATCTTAGGGAGCGATACGTGTCACTACGGTACTCAGGTACAGCAAGTCAAGATCAGCTTCCATCAGGGCAAACCTGTGCCCACACCAGCCTTTACAATCTTGCATTGAGAATATCTCCCCATGAAATAAAGCACACAAGTACGGAGATATTCTCAATGCATGGCAGTAAAGGTTGCTCGAATGGGCTTCGTTCTGACTGAAGCCGAACTCCAGCAAGTCATGGTTTCCCTGGGGTACTGGTCACGTGTCTGATAACCCTGAGCGTGATCTTCGTCGTACTCCCTGTTTTGCTTGTCTTGTCTTGTCTTGTCTCATGATCCATGCAGCATCTTATGAGACTTACGGAGTAGGTGTAACTCTTCAAGACAGGTCGTCTTATTTATGTGAGGAGTGTTTTCACAAGGTGGTTCCTTGTGGAGCACGATTTGATCATTTGGCGAGGCGATTATTACCAGGCATATCACAATTTGGCGATGTGACTTGTGGACTTGGTCGCCTGTTGCCTCTCAAGATGGGCCGTGAATGCCTTCTTGTCTCGCCTCACAGGACAGATTGCCGACGGGGTGACTGGGACTCATGAATCTGGTCCTATGCTGCCTTGCAGGGCAGGTCGCGAATACCTTCTTGCCTCACCTCGCAGGACGGATTGTGATTTGGTGATGTGACTCGCGAACCTGGTCTTATGTTGCCTCATGAGGTGGCTTGCATGTACTTTTTCGCCTTGCCTCGCGGGATGTTCTTGCCTCACGAATTAGCCTCGCTGTGTTTGCAATGTTGTGAAGTATTCTTTCCATCGTTCTCATTGTCTAGTTGGTGAGGACTTACTCTTTTCCTTGAAACTCATGCTTACTGTCTTACAATAGGATATTGAACCAGATAACCAGATCTGCAGATCTATAGTGCAGCCATTCCCCAAATTCTGTTGATAAATGTAGTAAAAAAGATATAAATTTTCAGGGGGAAACAGAGATCAAGAGATGGGTTAGCATGCATGAAGAGAATCATTAGGTGGGTTGGCTGTTGTTTAGAATATCTTTCTTTTCTCATGGAAACCTTGGACTGTTGCACCTCCAAGAGATTGTTTCCTAAGGATTCTCTCCTGTTCTTTATCACAATTACAAACAATTATTCCAAATTCTGCTTAAAAATTTCAAGATTTCTGTTAGAAAATGATAATTGGTTCATTTCTTTCAGAGTTTCAATACATATTTTCATTGTTCAGGAATTATTGTCTTAATTTAAGTATATGCTATTGAACTACTTGTACAATATAGTAATCCAAGATAGTTCAATGTAGCTGGAAAAGTTGTTCATAGAAGGAATTCTGAGAATGAGATCAACTAGAATTTTTTGGTTTCCGCTGTGATTATTTTTTCCTAGTTTTGGTTTACTAAGTCTTCATTTTCCCTATAGGTATTTGCATCTTCTAGACAACCATTTTTTTTTGATAATTTGCAACCATTTATTAAAAAAATAGATATGTTAAAAGTGATTTAATCGATAATAAAAGATTACAAGGGCTTTGCAGAAAATAATATTTTCCTCAGGCTATCTATGTAATTCATATTTCTTATTCTCTCATGATCTGCACATTAGATATTTATCTTGGGCAGAGTTGATTGATATGCATAGTTGGTCTCTTCATGCTTGACATGTATTAATTTAGTATATGTTTAACTATTTTCTTGCTTTTTTTTTTCTGTTCCCCCTTTTGTTTTTGTGAAGAGGTATGAATTAAACTAATCTATTTTGCTTATCTGGATGCAGAAAGAAGCTATTTATGGTTTGACAGAAATTATAAGAGAAGAAATTCGGAATGCATGGCTAGTTGCTAATCCTGGTTGCTATCCTACATCCATTCAGCTTCCTCATGTTCCTTTGATAAAGGTTTTGCATCTACTCGTTATACTTGAAATTCATCGTTATAAATGTTTAGGTTGGGGAGTCTCCTTTGAAAGACCAATTTCCAGCCCTTTTTGTAATGTCCACCTTAAAAAATGAACCAATCGCTACATTCCTTGTTCCCTCAAATTCAAATTCTGGGTTTAGTTGGAACTTGGCTTTAAGAAGAGCACTTAGGGATACAGAATTGAATAGTACCTCAACTCTCTTGTCCATTCTTGATGGGGTTTTCTTGGAGCGTACAAAAACAGATAGTAGGATTTGGACTTTGTCTCCTTCTGGATCCTTTACTTGTGCCTTCTTCTTTAAAGCCCTAATACAACCGGAAATTCCTATTGGCTTGCCATTCCCTGTTAAGGAAGTGTGGTGTCAACCTATACCTCTGAGGGTTGGGAGTTTTTGTTGGGAAGCTTTCCTGGAAAGAATTAACACAGATGATTTACTTCAAAGAAAAAGACCCAATAGCTGTTTATCTCTACATTGGTGAGTCTGGTTACCACTTACTAATATCTTGTGTTTTGGCAAAAAATATTTGGGAATGGTTTGCTTCTTTGTTTGGGTGTAGGTGGATTTTCCCAACAAATGTGCAAAGCTTGTTTTCCTCTTCTTCTCTTGATTGCCCAACAAAAAAATCAAGAATCATGTGGAGATGTGTGAGAATTGCTGTTTATTGGACAATATGGGAAAAAATAAATTCAAGGATCTTTTCAGAAAAGGAGAGATGTTTGGAAACTATGCTAGAAGTGATTCATATAAGAGTAATACATTGGCTGAAAACAATGGATGAATTCACAAAATTTTCAACAGATGATATGTTAAGAAAATGGAAAGAAATTGCTAGGTCAGTGTCAATTAAGAAAACCTTGAATCTCACATGGAACCCTCCACCTCCTGGTTTTATCAAACTGAATTTTGATGGCAATAGCATGGGGAATTCAGGGCCTTCGGGTATTGAGGGGTGTTAAGAGATGAGAAAGGTTGTTCTCTAGCCTAATTGGAGTGGGGCTCTTTGAGGGCTGAAGTGTTAGCAGTTTTGGAAGGGGTGCAAAGGGCTAAAGATCTAAATGTCAAGAAATTGATTATAGAGGGAGATTCTGTGATTGTAGTGGACTTGCTAAAAGAAGACACTTCTAAGATGTAGAGCTACAGTAATGAAAAGAGAAAGTCCAAATGGCTGATAAAAATATGGAAGTTCAGTGTACTTGGGTAAAGAGATGCAAATTCCTTTGCTGATGGATTAGCTAGGCAAGGGGTTAATAGGGTTTCTGGGTTCTAGGCTCAATTGTAATTGTTGTTTCTATCAGTTTGGGTGCATTCCCAACTTTTGGGGAGTTAAGATACCTTAGCTCCTCTTCTATGAAAGTTTACTACTATTTAATGAAATCTGTTGTTATTGATAAAAAAAAAAAGGAGGGAATATCATTATATTATCCTTATGGTAGGATACAAGAAGCTCTAGGTGTTGAATCCAACTGAAAATAGATGGGAAAAGGACCTTTACTACTATGAATCAACTAAAAATTCAGAGGCTAAATGAGAAATGTTTGGTGATACTTCACTTTTTGTGCAATAAGTAGGTTACTGTTTTGAAAAGATGCCAAAACCCAATGTCAATCCCATATCCAGGATCTTGGCAGGGCTGGACTGGATATGGGCCTGACCTTGGCAATTTTTTGCTCTTAGAAGTGAATCTGCATTCTTGCCGGCCTGAGATTTCACCATTGCACCAACCAGTGACCTCTTTCAAACTGTATAACGCCAAAATGAAAAAGAAAAGGATGCCAAACTGTATAGGTGTCTGAAATCTCCAATGCAGTTTCTTATACTAAGGTTCTCTTTTTTATTTTTATTTTTATTTTTTGTTTTTGGGTCCTGAAGCATTTGAGAACCATTTATTTTTCCTTTGGAACCCTTTGATGGTTGTGTAGCATTTCCTTTCGTTAAATGTGAGATGTCTGTGGAATATAAGGTTGCCAGTTTGTATTGCCAACTTGAAAGAGAAAAAAAGATTAAGAGACTGATCCATCATTTGATATATAACAAGGAGACACCTAATTTGGCCAAACAGAAACCTCTTGGTGGGATACAACCATCCCAACAATAATTTGTTTTCCCATTGCGCTTTATTCACCAATCGTTATTTAACCCAGAAACCAGGTGAAATTCACTTTTTGTCATATCGGATGATCATTCAAAACATGTCTTAGGATTCAAGTCTTATTCAAAGCATGTAGGGTGCAAATTTGGTTTGGGTCAAACTGAAACCCAACTAGCTGAGCTCTAATTTGGGCTCCATTGGGGTGGCCCGGGTGGGGTGTTTTGAAATCAAGTTGATGAATATAAAGTTCAATCCGACCCAATTTAGGATGAGTTGGGTAGGGTTGAGGCCTCAGGCACCTGACTCCTTATATAATGTGTTATATTTTATTAATATATATATATATATATATGTATAACGTATAAATTATTATGCTCTATTTATATCTTGAAGCATTATTGAAACATAATTATAGTTTTATGAGACTTAAAGTCATTTCAGGAAAAAATAGTATTGAGTGTTTTTTTCACACATCTATCAGGCTAACCCAACCCAACCTGATAACGAGAATTGGGGTTACTTGGGTCAGGTTGGGCTTGGATTGAGATAAGGTTCCATTGCCTTAGTCTGGGCTTGGGTTGACCTCAACCTGATCCAACCTGGCTCAAATTGAGTCTGGATTTATTGAAACACATGCACATGTAAACATCATTTTCAAAATTTATGGAGTCTGGATTTATTGACTAAATCTTACATCACTATTTGAATTACTTTCATGATTTTGTGGGTTGGTTTAAAGATAATTCAATCGTACATGGGAAGGGTACAGACAAGACTGGGGGCTTTCCTTTGACAAAGATGCTGTGACAAGAGGTGGCTGGTATGCTAACTACCATAAAAGTTGGAAATCAAGTCCTTAAAATTAAAGCTTCATAGTTATTACCTGATATAAAAGAAAAAAGATACTGCTTTTCACCTATTTATCAAAAGCTGCCAAGATTGTTTAAAAAAGTTTTCCTTAATGTGTATTTTTTCCTCGTTATTGTGACATGTAATCAGCGAAAATTTAATAATTGCCATTTAAAAGCTTCATCTAAATGTAATCTCTATATCAACTATTACCAAAAAAAAAATTGATGTGATTATATTTTCAGCATTTGTAAGATCTAGCTGAAAGTAGATATGTCAAAATATTCACAACAAATTTTAATCCATTCCTGTTGCCTAGAACATTTCATGTGATTGATCAAAACAATGACAACTGAAAGGGGTATGAAAAAGGATAGTTTCTTTTTTTTGTTAGAATGTCATAGGGAAGCATGTTCTTAACTACTCTACCTTTGTATTCATTTTATGAACCAATCTAGAGACAGATAAAGCTACCCAACTTAGTTCCTCGTATCAGATTCTAACCTACCCCAACAAGATAAGCCTGGATTTAAAGCCTACCATCCATGTAACCTAGACTCTTCTGTTTGTCCCTACTCTCATACTAGAAAGAGTTGCCTACTTCTATTTTTATATGGAGCTAATTGGGTCACCCTGGAATGAGTTAGTCCTCGCAGGAGATTCTACTTCCAACAAGTGTAATACTTCAAATTAGACCGCTGTTGACAAGCATTTTAATAACCAAAACAACACTGTTTTGTTCTCTTTGCTTTCATCTTAAACACATTTTAGAGTTTGAGATTTCCAATTTTCCATGCACTTGGAAAATTTTCTTTAGTAAATCCCCCGATGATGAATTAATTCCTGGAATTTTTGATGCATTAATCTGTCGTCACCAAGATGTTACACCAGAAAGAACATTTGATGATCCTGCATGAGGAAGACTCTACCATACAGAAGAGTGACCTAATGAAATGAAGTGGGAACTTGAATAGATAAACAGGAAAGTTTACATAGGAAAAGCTTAAGCCTGGTCATAATTTGGCATTGCTTTTTTCAGAACTGTTATTCTATTAGTGAACTACGATTAACATGTGATTTTTTTTTTTTTTGAAAGCCCTTAGTCAACTTCATTCAACTTTCAATCTCAGTTACATCCTTGATCAATACATAAGAAATAAACTCAGGAGCAGACGACCAGGTTTGAGTAGAGAGACAAGTAAGAGCAAATTTGGCTATGTGGTGAGCTACATCGTTACCAGATCTCGGAGTAAAAGTAATTGAGGAACCATTAAGGTGATTAAAGAGACTCCTACAACTTGATAAGAGAGTAAGCATACTTGTCTTTGTACTCTTTTTTATTTGTGAGTATATAATCTAGTGAAAGGGGGCGGCCATACCTAATTTTGGCTTCTCCCATTCTCTTTTATCTCTCTTCTCTTTCTTTCTCTGCAAAAACCTTCTCTTCTCTTTCCTTCTTTCTTTTACAGTTTTCATATCAAAACAGGTCATCCAAACTTTTCTACTTCAACCACCGAAATCAAGAAAGGGGAGGAAGGAGCCACCATTGCAGTAGGAAGTGGCTCTTTAGAAATTGAGGGAGAGAAGTGGATTGCTTCGAACCTCCAAGATAAGTTATTTAGGAATGGTGTCGATTATGAGGTTTCTGAAGTGGTTATTGGAAAACTGGGATTGGATTTGGATCATAGGGATAAGGAGAAGAGGTTGGCTAGAAGTGGTGAGGTTTCGAAAATTCCTAAGAATACCAGAGGTTCAAACAAGCTTAACATGTTTCATGTTACGAAGGTATTTTCAAGACTGAAAGATGGTTTGTTGGGAGCCGGACCGACCAATAAGTATAAAAGAATTTACAGAAGAAAAGGGATTAAAAATAACTCCCCGAGTCTTGAGAACTCGTGTCTCAAGTCATCTCTCTCTTCTGAAGGGTCTGGAAAGGTTTCCCCTATGGTGGAGTCCCAAAGGACGGAATCGAAAGGGCATAACGGTTTAGAAAAAACAAATCGATCCGATGTTATCTCGAAAGAGGTTTGTACTAAAGTGAGTCAAGTAATGGTGGGGGATAAGGCAACAGAGCTAAAAGGAGTGGACTTGAAGACTCTAGTTGATAGAGAGGTGGAAACCAGCAAGTCTTTGGGTTTGCTCTTTTTAGGAGGGGAGGAGTTTGCTAGAAGAGCTTTTGAAACTATGGAGAAAAAGAAGAAGCTAAAAAGCATGAGAAAGGTTCCAGAAGAGTTAGGGGAAGAACTTTGGGATGAGGAAGGGGGTCGAAAAAAGTTTGATGAGGTGGAAGATTGATCTGCACTTAGGATCTGATTGGCTGGTGTAGTGCTTGCTGTCTTTGTGCTTTCTCATGTTTCTCTTTCTTGGTTTCTTCTTTGTTGTAGGCGGTTAGACAAAGTAGTTGGTGGGCCAAGAGGTGTTATCTTATCACCTGCCTCTAGTTTGTATTCAACTTTTCTTTTTTAATAAAATCTTCTTGTTATCTATCAAAAAAAACAAACTTTCAATTCAAAGGTCAAACCCACCTTCAGATCCACCTACCAAGTACCAACTAGACTACCACCCACCCTATGTCTCTGATTTTTCTCATTATAAAATTAAACAACTATGAACT